ATGGTGATGATGATGACACATATAAATACTGAAAGTACCGAAAATCTGTATACACTTGAGTCAGATCTGTTAAACGGATGTGCACTACCAGCTGGAGTTTACAGCCGGTGAACGCGAAGAATGGGAAATTGGATTATATGTGTAGGTATAAATAATGTGTTTGTGTGTATGTGTAGATGTGTGTATAAACAACCAACCCTTTCTCTGACCAGACCCTAACGCAACAACACACCCTTCAAACAAAACAAAACCACCCACACATACTTCTCATAGAAAACCTCAAACCAACTAGCAAACCAATCAACGAACTAAACAAATCAACAAAGCGACCATTCAACCAAACATCTTACCATTAAACAAGAACCAGAAAGAAAAAAAAAAACCAGTCAAACACACAATCAACACACCAAACAATAGGTCAGCAAAATAAAACAGGTATCAGCCAAATCAAATAACCAGCTAACAAACCAAATAAAACCCTAGCGACCATCGAACTAAAAAAAAAAAAACCGAACAACCAATAAACCAACCAGCGCGTCCCAAAATGGCGGCTAATCCTGCCAGCAACTTTTGGTTTTAATTTCGGCAACGGGAAACCCCATTCCCCTGATAGCACCGTAATGCACCTCATCTCTCAACGTCCAGGCCACGCGATATTCCGCCTCGTTTTGTTTGATGTTCCCTACCCGCTTAATGTCAATATCGATTATTAAATCACACCTGGTTTATACGTTAAGATAACGGTCACACAATGGTAAACAGACTGGGCGGTGTGCTCGCTTACTGCACACCTTGTGGTCTTGCACATATCAAAACATGGCTGGGTCTGCTATGTTGTGTTTTGGTTTTCCAATTTAGGCGCCAAATTCGTACAATTACCGTGAAATGAACCAGTAATGGAACAAGTTTAGGTATCAGAGGCGGTTTAATTTTGTTTCATTAGTTACCGTGGTACGTGCAAATACTGTAATAGAAACATAATGTAGTAATACGTCCCTTAATGTAGATGTAATGTAATGTAATCAGCCATAATATGGAAGGTAGAGGCAGTCACGTGGCAGGTACTGTTGTTGGGGCATGGTCGGCCGTCCTAAATTGTAGGTTATCCTGTAATGCGGTCGGGATGGTCAGGTCTGTTTCTGTTTGTCCCTGACAATACCTTAGCACTCACTTTATGAATGTAGGTCGAAACATAACCCGGTCAGAGACTGGACGCTAGCCCCAATCAGAGCCCTACCCATAACCCTGACCCGAAACCCAAACCTAACTACAAAACCTAACCCCAGCTCTAACCATAACCCTGACCCGAAACCCAAACCTAACTATAAAGCCTAACCCCAGCTCTAACCATAACCCTGACCCGAAACCCAAACCTAACTACAAAGCCTAACCCCAGCTCTAACCATAACCCTGACCCGAAACCCAAACCTAACTATAAAGCCTAACCCCAGCTCTAACCATAACCCTGACCCGAAACCCAAACCTAACTATAAAGCCTAACCCCAGCTCTAACCATAACCCTGACCCGAAACCCAAACCTAACTACAAAGCCTAACCCCAGCTCTAACCATAACCCTGACCCGAAACCCAAACCTAACTATAAAGCCCAACCCCAGCTCTAACCATAACCATGACCCCAAATCTAACCCCAAATCTAACCCCGCCCTAACTCCAGCAGTAACACTAAGCCTAACTGCATCCATAACCCCAGTCTAACCCCAGACATAACCACAAGCCTCACCCAAGCCCTAACCCTAACCCTAACTCCAACCCTTATCCCAAAAGCAACTATGTCTGTCTGTTGTCGGGTCTTGGCGTCCGACTGTCCCATTTTTTGCCAGATTGTTATCTTCTCAGGGCAACAAGAAAACACTTAACACTAAATTAAGGACAGCCTGGGAATAGAACTCCCAGCTCTCATGAGGATGGCTGAAGCTAAAACATGGCAGTAATGTGCTTCCGTATCCCAGAAAGGTGCAGGAAATAGTTTTTTAAAAAAAAGAAAGAAAAAGAGGTAGGCATGTAAGGAAGTAGTCAGCAAGCAGGTAGTAAAGTAGGCACTCAAGTGTTTAGGTGTGTAAGTAGGCAGGGAGATAAGTATGTAGATAGATAGCTGCGTAGGCACTCAAGTATTTAGGTAGATAAGTAGGCAGTGAGGTAAGTAGGTAGATGTAAGGCATAAGTAGATAGCTTCGTAGGCACTCAAGTATTTAGGTAGATAAATAGGCAGTGAGGTAAGTAGGTAGATGTGAGGCATAAGTATATAGCTGCGTAGGCACTCAAGTATTTAGGTAGATAAGTAGGCAGTGAGATAAGTAGGTAGATGTAAGGCATAAGTATATGGCTGCGTAGGCACTCAAGTATTTAGGTAGATAAGTAGGCAGTGAGGTAAGTAGGTAGATGTTAGGCATAAGTAGATAGCTGCGTAGGCACTCAGGTATTTAGGTAGATAAGTAGGCAGTGAGGTATGTAGGTAGATGTGAGACATAAGTAGATAGCTGCGTAGGCACTCAAGTATTTAGGTAGATAAGTAGGCAGTGAGGTAAGTAGGTAGATGTGAGGCATAAGTAGATAGCTGGGTAGGCACTCAAGTATTTAGGTAGATAAGTAGGCAGTGAGGTAAGTAGGTAGATGTGAGGCATAAGTAGATAGCTGGGTAGGCACTTAAGTATTTAGGTAGATAAGTAGGCAGTGAGGTTAGTAGGTAGATGTGAGGCATACGTAGATAGCTGGGTAGGCACTCAAGTATTTAGGTAGATAAGTAGGCAGTGAGGTAAGTAGGTAGATGTGAGGCATAAGTAGATAGCTGCGTAGGCGCAGTCAAGTATCTAGGAGAATGGCGCTGCAAAGAGTTACCAGGGGATCTGGTAGACGCTCACCACTCAAGGGAAGGGAGAGACGGATATACAATCAGACAGTTACTGGTACCATCGGAATTAGAACTCTTCACTTGCTGCTAAAGATGGGGACACGGCGCTTATGGGAGTGTCCCGAGTGCTGTGATGTCGATTCTTAATTCAACATTCAACTATCTAGGGAGATAAGTAGGCAGTCAGGTACGCAGGTGGGTATGCAGGTGTTGAGTGGATAGATAGCTGGGTAGGTATGTGGATTGTTAGGCTTACAACCAGGCAGGGAGGCATGTAACGTAGGCAGGTAGGCATGCAACGTAGGCAGGCAGAGACTGAGACACCAGGCATAGATTGTTCACGACCTGTCATGGCTCACCAGAGCCCATATTGTATTTCCTCCCAACATCCGCCATACTGGTTCCGGTTGACTGAGCCACAAAGTGTGACTGGCAGCTGCCGGCCGGGGGGCGACTGACAGGCAGGACGATGTCGGCACCAATCTTAATACCGCATCGGAAGTGGGAGGCCGGTTCGTGCAGGGGCGGGCATCGATTTGCGGATCTTTTGTGATGGGGAAATAGTTGGTTTTGTGCTGGGGCGTTGGGCATGAGTGAGCCTCCAAGATTGTCGAGTTGTTTCAGGCTTTTGTCCATGTAGACATCCATATCAGCCTAACGTAGGGATCATAGATAGACGTGAGAGCACACAGACGTAGAAGCAGACAGACGTGAGAGCACACAGACATAGGAGCAGACAGACGTGAGAGCACACAGACATAGGAGCAGACAGACGTGAGAGCACACAGACATAGGAGCAGACGTGAGAGCACACAGACATAGGAGCAGACAGACATGAGAGCAGACGGAATTGAGAGATGGGAGCAGACAGACATGGGAGCAGACAGACATGAGAGCAGACAGACATGGGAGCAGACGGAATTGAGAGCTGACAGACATGGGAGCAGACGGAATTGAGAGCTGACAGACATGAGAGCAGACGGAATTGAGAGATGGGAGCAGACAGACATGGAAGCAGACAGACATGAGAGCAGACAGACATGAGAGCAGACAGACATGAGAGCAGACAGACATGGGAGCAGACGGAATTGAGAGCTGACAGACATGGGAGCAGACAGGCACGGGAGCAGACAGACACGGGAGCGGATATAAGAGCAGACAGACACGGGAGCGGATATGAGAGCAGACAGACACGGGAGCGGATATGAGAGCAGACAGACACGGCAGCGGTTATGAGAGCAGACAGACACGGGAATAGACAGAACGGTTCGATAAGAGGACAGAGATCGAAATATAGTTAAACATGACATGAGTTTATGTGGATCCCCTAGGTTGTCGCGGGGTCAACGACTAGGATTTTGGGGTCAGAGGGCACACATTAGAAAATAACGAAGAAACGTGGCTGAAAACTTTGGCAAATCAGACAGTTCGTGAAATTAATAGGATGTTTAATTAATTAACACAGAGTGGAAAAACAGGTTATCAATCCAGTTATGCCCCCAGAGCTACTGAGGAGGAGACCAGAGCAGCTATGTAAATGTCAGGAGTGCTGTAATAATAATTTTTACCTGTCACTAACGTGTCCAAAATATACTGATTTTGTGCGCGTTTCATATCTCTTATTTGAAACAACAACACATTTTTTCACCACACACACGCTTAGAGAGAGAGAGAGAGAGAGAGAGAGAGAGAGAGAGAGAGAGAGAGAGAGAGAGAGAGAGAGAGAGGTGCGAGGGTGTGGGGACGTGACGCCTACACTGCAAAATTAAAAACAAAAACAAAACAGTTCTTAGGCAACACTGTAACAACTGTGTCGCGACACATTAGCGTGTTTGCTGTAGTGTAAAGACATGACCCGTACACATAGTTATATGTATATGTCGGTATATTAATAGTGTATGCATATGTCAATATCATTTATAATTGAACCACTGTTTTCGCGAAATTATGTTTAAAAACAAAAATATGTCACCAACATGAAACGTTTTCCGATCTAGGGTAGCAAACGCCTACAGTCGCCATGCTGATCCCGTTCGATGAGAGATTTCCTCAGGCACCCATCGACCAGTTTTCTAACTGGCTGGGAATTGAGAGGAAACAAGTTGTCCTTCTCGCGAGATCTCTTGCGATT